AAACTCTCTTTCTATTAACAACTTCGAATTTATGGACTCGGCTATGTTCATGGTTATGACATCAAACCTTCTTCTAGGAAAGTAAGCTCTACTCCATCGCTCAAAACCAACATCATGCTCAAGATACTTAGCAATTCTATCATCCTTGATTTGGATTAACCGGTGCTCCTCAAACTCATCAACTCAATAAGCTTTTGCTGCCATGTAGTATGTCTGAAGGGGGCCATCACAGTTAAACTTTTGTTTTATGTTCTCGCCAAGGTGCCTCATATAGAATCTGTGATGTGCTTAAGGGTAAATAGTGGCAATCCCCTTCTTTATAGAGTTGTGCTTATCGAATATTATGCACAACTCATTACTGTCAGGCACTATCATAAGTAATTGCTGGAAAAACCAAGTCCACGACTCGTCATTCTTAGAGTCAACCACACACCATGCAACGGGATATGTGTGATTCTCGCTGTCCTATGCAGTGGCCACCAACATTGTACCTCCATACTTTCCCGTCAAAAAGTAACCATCAATAGCCAACACCTTTCCCATGTTTACAAACCCCTTATAGTAGCACTGTAAGCAACAAAAAAATATTTAAATCTCATATTTTTGTCCCACTTCAAAGCCATCTTATTACTTTGGTTTGTCAACTCAAGCATATAACGGTATGCTTCTAATACTGCGTACTCGTGTGCTGGTGTGCCCCTCACAAAATCTTGTGCATGTTATCTCCCTTTCTAGCATTTCCAGTAACTAATATCGCATCCCAACTTTGTGCGCATAAGTCTCTGAATGTCCTTAGGAGATGGACCTTTCCCTTCAACAAACTGACTTTTGAATAATTGTCCAATAACATCAGCAGAGGCTTATCGATGCTCGCCTGAAATATGTCCTAGCCCACATGTGTGCTCACAGGCAAGGTTCTGAAAATCGGACCGAACCGTCTGATCGGACCAGTTTGACCGGTGACCCGTGACATTTCCGGTCTAGAATACTTCAAAAATCATTAATTGCATTTAAACCGGATTGGACGACGGTTAGACCGTCGGAATAGTGCAGAATCGCGGTCCAATCGTAGTTGAATCCCGCCGGATTCCGGCACCGATTGAGGGAGAAATCACCACCATTAGACTTGACGGCATCTCCACTACAAAACCCTACCATTTTCAGTGGCCGTCGTCCAGCCATCGTCGCTCGCCGTCCACCAAAACTTCACACGATCGTCAGACTTCTTTTGTTGATTCTGACGATTTCCGGCGTCGATAGAACTCCTTGGCACCACCATCAGAGTTGTCGGGACCTACACATCAAAAGCCCCAAGATTCCAGCTTCGATTAGCCGTTGATCATCGCTGCCGCCACCACTCACCAGAATCTTCGCAAAACAGGGGTGTTTTAGATAGATTTCAAACCTTAAGGGAGTATTATAGAGGTGTTTTTAATGAATTTCAAACCTTTAGGGACTAAAATGTAATTTTATAAATTACGGTCAAACCGACCGATCCAACCGGTCAAACCGACCGATCCAACCGGTCAAACCACAAATCCGACCCTTGAACGGGTCATTGTTCGGTCCAGTTTTCAGAACATTGCTCACAGGTATGTGTTAACAATGAATTTTGGACTCTGCCAACCTTCTACAATAAACCCATCACTTGCACTTTCGGTTATGACATGCAACCATTACTACCGATGAATTAGACTTCTTGGCGATGAACTCAAAATTACCTCTCACGGCAACAAGTTTTAGCTTCCTCACCACTTCCTCCTTGCTATCAAATAAATAACCTATGCGCAAGTCCAATCCATCAGTAAAAACGTGAGTTGATTCACTACTACTCGCAATTATCGCCTTTGAACCTGTATAAACGACCATAGTGTTCTCTTCCTCACATACTATTTATAGGAATCTCTACATCTGTGGGAATATGTACGGGGTCCTCCTCGTCCACATTTTCATTCTACCCCACACGACCAACCTCTTCTACAGTGTCCTCCTCACCATCCAAATCACTGCCTACTCTTGATTTTTCAGTAAAGAAATCAATGCCCTCGTAGTTAAAATTAAAACCAGCATTCGCCCTACCCAAATCATCGCTTACTCTTGAACCAACGTCTAAAGCTTTATCCACAACCGAAAGTATTAAAATCGGTCTCCAACCATTATCGCATACATCAAGCATAAATAACTTCACATCTTCATCAAACATTAATACAACATGGGGTACCTTAAAATTTGCAAGAGCTCTGCTTAAAACATACTTCACAACTATATCACTACGTGAGCAACTCAACCCACCTCTTCTAATGATTTCATCAATCAACCATCAAACTAACTTTTGTACTCACAGCAATTGCATTAACTTGTTTGCTCTTCCCAATCCACTTCCAACAACTTTCTTCCTCCACCCACTCACCAAAATATTCAACACCCAAAACCACTTGTCTCATGTCTAATAATAGCCAAGTATCTATAATGCAAGAAAACAAAAATTATTAATCGATATATTAAGGGTTGACAGATTTTAAAAAGCATCTCTAGGGTTGCTTAAGCGATGTGGTTTATCGCTTAAGCGATTTGGTATATCGCCTACTGAATTGCTTAAGCGATCTTGTATCAATAACCCTGATCGCTTAAGCGATCTTATGCCATATACCTGATCACTTAAGCAATATGTTGCCATATGCCAGACTTATAGCAGATCGCTTAAGCGATCTTTTGCCATAAACCTGGTCGCTTAAGCGATCTGCCATTTTGTAGCATTAAACCAGATATATCAGATCACTTAAGCGATCCATCAGATCTAGAACACATTTTCAGTTATCTCCACCTATAATCGGTGTTACCACTCCCAGCTACCCACAATGCAAGAAAATATTCAACAAATTTCGCTCCTTTGAACTTGCATTACATCAAACACAACCCAACAACCTAAAGAACTAAATCAAAATCATAACCCAAACCCAATCCATCATTAAATCTTTGTAAATTGAAATTTCAAATGCAAATAGGAGATACACATACCTGGACAAAATGTCAGGAGGAGGAGGAGAGGGATCTTTGGCAAAGAAGATGTTAATGGTGGATGAAGAAGAAGATGTAGAGGCATGAGGAAGAAGAAGAAGAAGATGTAGAGGAATGAGGAAGAAGAAGATGTAGACGAAGGAGGAAAAAGATGTAGACGAAGCTTAGAAGAAGCAGCAACCGAGGGAGGTGCGTTAATGGCGTGAGGAAGAAGAGGAAGGTGTTTGGGTTTGTTTGCAAGAATTTCGGCTTTTTGGGGATGTATTATAATTTTTTAAAGATTACATAATACTTCATTAATTCTAATTAATAACTAATCATGTTTAATTAACCTTTATCAATAATTAGGCTATTTACTTAACACTTTAAAATTACGTGACCTTTTAATTAAATTTGAACTTGATTTGGTCTTTTAATAAAATGTCCCTTATACCGATTGAGTAAAAATACAAGACGGGAAAATATCATCAACCTCCTTTAATGTTTCATAAATTAACATATGACAACTTTGGACATTTCATTGGAACACCCCTGTTTTGTTTCATAAAAGAGGTGAATGTGATGCTGTTCCCCACAGTTTTTATCTTTTTAGACCCCTTTCAAAATACCCTTTTTTTTTTTTTTTTTTTTCCTGATTCACTTTTCTCCTCCGTAAAAATTATAAATAGGAGAAACTAAATATAAATAAACCATCTCAAATATATAATGATTTCAAAAAATTAAGTTATCCATCATATAAAACTTCATTTAAATTAATTTTTTTAAAGCATTTTTGTTGATGACCACTTTTGTTAAAGAGGCTCAATACTATAATCGACCTCAAGGGTACAAACCACCTATTAAGCTTTAAAGCTCAATTCTAGATCTAAATGAATGCTTCTTGAGATCTTTACTTGAACCTATTGTATTATCCAAATATAAGCCCTTGACATCCTCAAAGCCATCACATGATGACACACTATTACAAAGTCTATCATTCAAGGTGTAATTTATGTTTACAATTGAATATATAATTAATTCAACAAACAGATAAATACAAAGAACAAAGTAGTCATTTTACATAATTTTTGTGAATTTTTATCTATTTCTTAACTTGATTATATAATTTAGTTGTAAGTAAAACATTATTGATTATTCTAGAAGCTCACTAATTCAAGTGCCAAAGGCCTAGAACGACGCAGAGTGTGTTGTAGTACATTTCCCTATTGTTATGGTGTTTTTTGGCTGGGTTAAAAACTGAAACGGATGTTTTCCAAGGCGTCATTGTGATGTTATTGTGACGTGTTTTCAGGTTAGAATGATGATTTATTGTTGGAATAGGTCCATTTTCTTGGGGTGTATATATACTAAAACATTATTCTATTAAATATATATCCGATGCATATTTTTTGTTACTCAAAAACTTATCTTGGTTACTACACGTAGACAATAATACTACCCAAGTTCTTAAGTATTTTCCGTCTTTTTAGCTGCTAGATACCCTATAGGAGCGAAAACAAAACGAATTCGTTCCAGAAACCTTAATTTCCTGGAAATTAGTGCGCCAAAAAAAATTGACATATGATGCCCTGATACTAAAATACTTACTTGTCTTATGCCTTTAGTTAGTTATTTAGAAGCTAATAACAAATTTGCCGTAGTTCTGAATTATATAAAAACACAGACTTTCTAAGAAATCCTATAGGAAACTTAATTGGCGGCTCTGGGTTGAAACTATGGACGGTCTCTTGTCCATAAGAAAGATCCAGTGAAGTACAAATATTTTTGACTTTATTGTTTCAAATTAATATCCAATTCTTGAAACAATAAGTTTATGATCATTAATTATTTACGAGAATTATTCATTTTTTGGGCAAATGTCTACTTCTAGTTCTTGGATCTCTGACAACAAAGGACAAACTAGCATTTCCGTTAAGAAATATACGAATATTAAATGAAAACGTAGAAATTTCTCAAAAAGAATAACAAACAAAAATCCATTAATGAACGAAGAGTTACAATATTTCATACTGATATAATTCATTAATTTGTATATGTAAATTAAAATTTGCCCGGATAAGGCCTTGTTTCTCAAGCTTATTAGTATTAACTATCTACCAAAAAATTGTTTGTTTCAAGAAGAGGGATAAGAAGACAACAAATGAGGCGGAATGCAAGAAGAAGCCCTCCAAAGCCTAGAGTGTAACTTGAGCATTTCCTTTGCTCTTTCCTTGGTCTTCAAACTTGTATCAACTTGTAGCACCAAACACAACTTTGCCACAGCACCCACTTGCAACATCTCTTGAAGAACCCTAGCAGTTGCAGAGAACTTGCAGATTGAGATCAGAATTCTCACCGCTCTATCACTTGCCACATGAGAAACCCTAAGTATTTTCTTTGAAACAATGGCTACACCTGCTCCGTGATTCAAAAACTCCGCTCTCCCTTCTGCGCAGCGACACAGCTGATCCAGTACGTTTAGTATAAGTTCACAAGCTCTCTTGTCCGTCACATCAAGAAGAAGATCTATTAATACTGAAACTACTCCACCGTCAACGGATTTGATTCGGTTTCTTCCCCAAGGACAAAGCTCTAAAAGAAGCTTCAAAGCGGCCTTGAAAGCTTGCTGCGAAATCTGATCACTTAATACATATGCGATTTCGATAAACAATTCGGGCTTAACACTAACCAGTTGGATTGGATCTGCCACTTGACACATGGACATCAATAATATTGTACTATAAGCTCGAGATTGGTAGTTACCATGCTTCAACACTTGCACCAAAGAATCCACAAATTCTTCATTGTTTATTAAATTCTTCAAATAGTTTTCTGAGACATTTAGATGATAGAGAATGCTCAATGCCTCATCACTTGCTTTCGCCACATCGGATCCATCATCGATATCGACTTCGATTAAACTGGAAGCATAACTCCTTATAATTGCAGCCAAGAACTCAACAGCACCAGCAGCCTCTATGCAGGTTTTGTTTCTTTCACTCTGAAGCGTGATGGATCTCAATTTTCTCAGGCATTTGAGCTGCGTACGAGGGAACTTTTTAGCATCATCAATGATTTTGACAATCTGGGTTTTATCAACAGGTGGCTTCGGTGTAGGAATTCGTTCTATTCCAAGTGAGGAATTGAGAGTGCACCATGATTGAATCAAGCGACGAAGAGTGTGGTTTGGGGTTAGATCGGTTTCTAACAACACTTGTTTTGTTACAGGACAAGTGTTGTTGTTGCATGAAAATAACCATCTCTCGATGTTTTCTCTATCGTATGTAATCCCAGTTGAGACCGTGACCGGATCTCTCATAAGTTGTAACGAAATTGGGCAGAGAAAATGTGTAGGAACATCAATCTCCTCCATTTTATTAGAACTATCAAAATTTACAAAGAAAGAGAAAAATAAAGTAAAAGACAAAGAAGAAAAAGCAAAAAGTTGGACTCACTTGAATGAATCGCTTTATATATCAAATCCTGTTAGAAATAGTTGATCTGAGATTGGGTTGTGATGAAGTTAGTGTTGAAAAATGGCTTTTAGCAAAATCACATGGGGTAGAAGTGATAATGGAGAAAGGTTTAGGGACTTATATGTAATAGGCCAAAATGAGTTAGTTTGTCCCACATTGAAAAGGAATGAAAAGTGGGAAACTTTTGGGGCCTATATATAAGGACCTAAATCAATGTTAATTGTATCCCAAGTTGTAATTCCATTATACTTCTTTTGTTTAGGGTTCTTTCTTTAAGGACCCTTTAGTTTGTAAGTTTTGTTGTATCTCCCTTTTGTTTTGGGTATTTGTTGTATTGCCCAAATATTTGTAATATTGTTTGGAGATAGTGGAGCTTCCGTTTGCAGCGCCCGAGGACGTAGGTTTTAATACCGAACCTCGTTAATTCCTGGTATTCTTTATTTTTGCATTTAATTTTGGCAATTTATTTATGCTTTACTACTTGTATTATTATATTCAATAAGCTAGCATAGAGTTTATGTTTCCGTTGCATAACAGTTAGTGGGGGAGAGATAGGGCAGGTTTTTTATTATACGTGGGGTGAGTTGTGATGCAAGTTGCCGTTTGAAACGATAAAGTCAACACACGGAAATTTAGAAGTGAATTAATTAGGAAGTTTTCCAAGATTTTGGAAGTAGAAAAGATGAGAAATGAATGACTTTGAAATTAATGCATGAATGGACCAAACGTCGGTGTTGCAAAGCACGCTGCCTTCTGACTTGCTCTTTCTATAATATTAAAAAGTGCTTTTAATAGTAATTAATTACAAACCTTATTATTTTTTAATTATGATTACCGTTACAAGCTTTTTTAAAATCGTTAACTGCCTTCTTCAGAATTCCATAAAACAAAATTAAATTAATTTATAACATACATTTACTTCTAGTTCTGTCTAAAATGTGATGTCGCGTGGCTGGTGCCGACAGCCTCTCTGGGATTCCATGTTTCTTCCACGCGTTTCAAGGATGCTGCTTCAAAATTCTAGTTTAAATTTAACTGAATAGAAGACTTATTAATTAAATCGATTAACAAATTAATTGGAGAAAATTAAGGGAGTTTCTGGCTATCTTAAATCTTGATTATTAATTAGTTCTTGAAGATTTCACACTGCCGAAATAACTGACCAACTGCATCACAGGCCTTAATATTAGTAATAACTTCATATAATTGAATTATAAAACTTATTGTTGTTATAAATCTCCCACCTTGCTTCCACTTTGCCATGAATAACTTCTGAGATGTATACAAACTGTCATTGCCATATCTTATCATCAAAGCCCTTTCAACATAAATATTATAATGAAATAAATTTAATATTACAAATTATATTAACAGAAAAGTAAGATAATTAGATTTAATTATATCATGATTGGTAGTTTCTGAATAAATGTTTAAATAATTATATTCTCATTGAGTAATTAATATCGTAACCTTCAATTAACACTGTGATAATTATTTAGAAAATTAGAGAAAGAAAAGGGATTAGATGATGCATGTATGAATTATATAGTAAGAATTCATGTATAGTGGATGAGATGTAGAAGCAAAGCAAGCAACACGTTAAAGCATGTGCTGGCAGTCAATCAATTAATGGCCATGGCTTGAGTTGTCTTGGAATTTAATTATATATGCCACGTTATATATAATTGGAATTCAATCACTATTTATTTTGTTAATTGTATGTTTCTGACTTGTTCATATATTATTTTTGCATACTTGATTACTTCATTTTTAATTACTCATCTCCTCACCTAGCTAATGTCAGAGGCATCGTTTTGCATTTTTCAAACTTTGATCAAGGCTTGCACGTTAATGCATCTAAAATATATATGAATAAATATAGGTTGACTTTCTCACATTACACATTCAGCAATGAAGTAGTTAGGTTGATTTCCAACCCTTTTTTTCTCTCTGAAGATAAGATTGATTAATAATAATAAATTTCAAGTTCAGTTTCTGGTTTACTAAATTTATGTGATTTAGTTCATAAAAAGCTATATACGTATGAAGTAAATGAAATAATGAATTTTATCTTAACATTCTATAATCTATAAATAACACAAATTTGTAACTAAATTAGATTTGAGAATTTTCTTATAGTAGTGACTTGTTATAAATAATAATACAAAATAAATTGAAATGATGAAATTTGTTACGAATAACATAAAATATAATACAACAATGAATGATAGGCTTGTAAAATCGAATTTAACGCTAATGAATTAGAAAATTCACATAAACCTAAAAGATTGGTCTGAAGATCAATGAAGTTTGCTCATTTTCTTGAGTTATTAAATTCAAACTTTAGAGTTACTTACCACAATAACATTGTAGTTTACCTGATCATTTAGACTTGTAAGGTGTTCAATAGACCCTGATGATTAATTGATGTGTACGAAAAATAAAACAAACAAAATAAAAAAAAAAAAAAAAAAAAAACTAGAAAATTCACATTATGAATTATACACTTGATTTTTTACTATTATGTTCAATATTCACAGATATATTATCTAATCAAGTACTAGTCTAACGTTTAATTCACTTTATAAATCATATGTGTGTGTGTGTGTGTGTGTGTGTGTGTGTGAGAGAGAGAGAGAGATTTTGTTTCTAAATTAATTGCCGGTTTATGTTGTTTTTAATACCAACCCGGTAGTGGAGTCCAACCCCGAGTTGGGATTTTAACTGATCCAATTCACCGGATTTGTAAGGCCAAAATGAGTCAGACCATCTATTTGTGTGCTACTGAAGGATGTGCAAGTAGCACCAATTATTTGAGTAATAGAGTCCAGCACAATAAATCAGAGTCTCCATCAATCACGTACAGATAACCTTATGATCCTCATCAATTTGCAAGTTGCAACTCCATTTAATTTGAAAACTAGTTTACGATAAAATAGAGAATGTTTACTATTTAGAAATTTAAGAAATATCATAAAACAATTAAAAAAAAAGAAAATCACACAAATTCCCTAATCAAGACGTCATATATATATCCCAACAAATCAAATATTTTCAAGAACGCATCAAGCTTTAAAGGTTTAGTCATTATATCTACAAATTGCTCTTACGTATGACAATGAACCATCTTTACAATTCCATCTTTTGTGAGCTCACGAAGGAAATGAAAATGAACATCAATGTGTTTGTAGCGACCATGCATCACTAGATTCTTAGAAAGCTTGATTGCTAAACTGTTGTAGAATCATGTTGAGCATGGTTGAGACCTTCCAATATCCTTCTTAGCCACAATACTTGATAGGCACATGAAGTTGCAATAATGAACTCAGCTTCAGTAGTGGACAAGGTGACTACATGTTGTTTCTTCGAGGACCAAGACATTGCTCCTGAGGTCAACATAAACACATAACTTGAAGTGTTTTTCCTATCGTCTAAATCCCCAACATAATCACTATCCATGTAGGTAATCAGTTCCTCACTTCTTTCTTGTAGAACACACCAAAATCAATGGTACCCTTCAAGTACCTTAGTATCCTCTTTGCTGCTTGCAAATAAAGTTTAGTAGGGCAGTCCATGAATCCGCTAATGAGACTCACCACAAACATAACATCTAGTCGATTGGCAGTCAAATACATAAGACTTCCCACAATTTGCTTATAGAAAGTACTGTCTATCCTCACTCCATCTCCATTTTTCGTAAGCTTGAATCCAAGAACCATAGGCTTGTGAACTAGATTGCACTTGTCCATGCTGAACCTCTCCAACACTTCCTGTGCACATTTCTTCTGACTAATGAAGATGTCATATGATCTTTGCATCACCTCAATGCGAAGAAAGTATCTCATTTTTCCAAGATCAATCATATCAAACTCAAGCATCACGGATTTCTTATACTCAACAAACATAAGCTCATCATTCCTAGTAAATTTATGATCATCCACATAGAGACACACAATCAAGATCTTACCTCCTTTTCCAGTCTTGATGAACAAAGTATGTTCATAGCGGCATTCTCAAATCCTTCTTTCGTAAAATAGGACTCTATACGACTATACCAAGCTTGTTTAAGTCCATACAAAACCTTTTTCAGTTTATACACCTTCTGCTAATTGCCTTTCTGTTCATAACAAGGAGGCTATTCAACAAAGACTTCTTCACTTAGTTCACCATGCAAGAAGGCTAACTTTACATCTAATTGATAGATTGTCCATTCCTTTAGAGTTGCAACATAATTCACTACTCGAATTGTATATAACTGAGTTACAGGTGCAAATTAAAACCTCAGTATATTCCACCCCATGTTCTTGAGTGTATCCCTTTTCTACCAACCGGGCCTTGTACTTATCCACTTCTCCATTCTCATTGAGCTTTGTGATGATGTAAGTGATAATCTGCTGGAAATGGGACAACCTTTCTGCTGAATATTCAAATATGTTTTGGAGCCAAAGTTGTAGCTCAAGTTTATTTTGTTAAATTTGCGATGGTTGTGGAGCAGATATTTAGCCATTTAAATGCAGATTTTGTGTCTTGTTTAGTTGAGACTTAGACTTGGTTAGGTGCTTGTTTTCTGCTAAAGTTGATTTGTAATAAGTTTATTATATTGCAGTAGGTAATACAGGCACATAAAAGTGTATAAATGACTCTGTTTCATGAATGAAAAATATAGACTGAAAAGTGCCTTTTTGCCGTCTCTCTCATTGCAAAAACATTCATCCTTTATTTGAACTTCTCTTTCAAGAACCAACACTTTGTCTTGTAAACCAATTTTACCCTAACCTTCTTTGCTTCAAGGGTAAATCTTTCAAATCCCATGTATCATTCCTTATGGCTTCTATCTCTGCATCAGTGCTTTTCTCATTTTGTATTTTTCACATCATTGCCAAATGAGAGTGACACTGCTACCAATTGTGTTGTCGGTTCCAAGGCATTTAGTTTTGTATATATATGTTAATATATATTTGTATATACATTTTTATCTTATCAAAGAAGAAAATGTTCTTATTTCACATGTGGTTTATTCTTCA